GTCTTACACATATAGTATCGTTTATAGAAGAAAGAGCATACGAATCATCAATTATTGGAAAAGAAAATGTAGACTTACACAGTCGAAGGATTTCTAAGCCATTGTTGATATGTTTTCTCAGCGTAGGATGTGCAATTCTTGACGCCAGCTTCGCAGGCCCATCTCATTGCGTCTTTTCTGAGCGCTTTTACGAGATCGCTGTCGTTCGCTTTCGGTTCAAAACCCACGTGCTTCGACAAAGCCCTTGTCAGGTATGCCACGTAACGCTGCAAATTTCAGTATTTTATACACTCTAGAGTTGCTAGTTTTATTATATTGTATCATAATCTGTGCTAAAATCATATAAACTATTTTACGATATACAGCAAATCAATGAAAAAATGCCCAACGCGTTAAGTATGGAGTTACATATTTCGGTTGGAAGCAGGATTGCAGATTTTTTTAATTGCCGCATTAACATTCAAAGTTTGAATTCTAATCGTCAATTCAAATTTCTTTGAAATTGCTTTGTTTAATTACTTATCTACCCACTAAAACCAGTTCAACAATACACTTGTATAATACGTAGACTGCGGATGTTTACGCATATTCCTATTTTTTGTAAATAAAAGTACACAATCAAAATGCACATAAATATTATTAATAGTTTTTTCCTTTAAATATTATAAATTGTATTTTACTTTGAATATTTTATATTTCCTCATGTATTAGTGCATTCTGTATTAATTGAAATTATTAAAAATTCCCATAAATGTATAAACAACCGTAATCTAATGACAAGTTAATCTCGCGAAAGCTTTTCGTTTATCGAAAAAGCACATTAAATGCAATTTTGTATCTTCGATTTTGTATTTGCAGTAGTTCTTACCCTGAAAGTGTAATATTTGTCGGAGGTGCGTAATAAGTTCTGCAGGAAGCTCAAATGCCTGAACGCCGGTTGCCAGGGCACGTAATCGGTCTCACGACTCAAGAAGAGAGTCAGATTCAAAGCGACCGTGTAGTTCAAACGATCAGCACGAGCTAAGTTGAATGCGTCGTCGATCATCTGCGCACGGTTCACCGCGTGTATTTTGGTGTTGTTTCCTTTCTTCAGCTCTTTCATCAACAGTTCCCAATTTTCCACATCATAATTCACACGA